GCGCGCTTCTTCGCTTATAATCGCGTTATTATAAAGCGAATAACTTCTAAAAAACTGAAATTTGACCGAAAATAATTTAATTTCTTTCATTGGTATTTTTTAATCATTTTATAAAGTTTTATGACACCATCACATTTCCCTGAGTGGAAGTAACCAATTTGTTAACCATTTGACCCTCGGCTGACAGAGAAGGAAGTTTTTGAAAACAAAGTAATAGAGCGTTTAGCAGTTTGTTGTTTTTCACAGTGGAAGACTAGTAAGTTTATATAATAGACTCTAGTAAGACTTATTAGAGTCTATTATTTTCCAGAGAATAAATAATAGAGTTGAAAAATAGCACAATTCCGTGAAATTTAACAAATCTGATGTCAATAAAGGAAAGTTGAAGTTATTTATAGTGAGTTGATATTTTATAAGTTTAGTTTTTGCATTTATAAATCAAATTTTAAAAAATATAAATTTTTTATTTAAATAAATTTAAATAAAAAAATAGAATTTTTATTATTTAAATATAAATTCTATATTTTAACAAGTATTTTATACTGTTAGATAGTAGAGAAATCGAGTATTTAAGCATTTACTGTATATCAGTAAAAATAAAAAAATTGCGTTAATTTGGTTTATATATTTTGCCGTTACATTGCGCATGTAAGCTTTAAACTACAGTCAGAAATATATATTATTTTTATATGAATTTATTAATTATAATAAACATACATTATGTCTAAAATTTAATTAAAATAGCACTCTCTAATTAACATCTTAAATGAAGAAGTAATTAAATCGGGTCCCGCCGCCATCTTAAATAACGCGCGACGGTAAATGATCGATTTTGAGCGCGTCGCGTTGAATCAAATTAAATAATTTATAAAAATTAAAATAATAAGTATGTTTACAAAATAATTGACTATATCTATTCGCAATAGTACTGTAAAACACATCGTACTTATAGTGTAGCATTTCTTATAACAATTAATTAATTTTTGAATTTTTTTATATTTTATATATAAAATGCGAATAAAAAAACATAAATGCGTAAAACTTAATTTGAAAAATATCTGCAACTTCAGAAAACACATATATATTATAATCTATCACAAAAAGTTAGTTTGTAATAATGAAAATCGAGAAAAAAAATAAAACTTTCGAGGTAAAATAATTTCTGTAGTAAAAAGTGAGGTAAGCGATCACGTGACGCCTGTCTCCCCATCGTCTGTAACCAAAACGGCCGAGGGTGAAATAAAAGCGAAAACACCAGTAGAAGTAAAAACAAACATCGGCGCGTATCTAGGACTATATATTTGAACGGGAGCGAAGATGAAACACGACACTTTGTAATTTATGCTAATTACCTTCTAATATTAAAAAATTAAAATCATCAAAAAATTATAACAAAATTAAAATTTTTTGACTAAACTCGACTACAAACATATCTTAGAACTGGATTAAAGTAAAAGTACCCGTTTTTCGACGCTAAATTTTTATTAATTAATTTTTTAAATTGGTGCNGAGCAGCCGAACTACTTTCCGCCGTCCAGCGCCACGCTACGGAGAGTTTAGGCGGGTAAGTTGAGTTTACTATCGTCTGTACAGTATATAAATTAGGTACTTAAATTAAACAAAATCAACAAATTATTTAATATATTAATAAATTAATACTAATATTAAATATCAATAAAATTAATAAATTAAACAAAAGTTTAATTTAGAAATCTTAAATGAAGGATTAGAATTGGCAAAAACTCTAGAACTTTTTACGAATAATGATGCATCAACAAAGCTCTCCGAGAAATTTAAGAAAAAAATTGAAATATTGTTTAGCACCATATTTTGAAATAAAAGAAGATTTAGAAAGTAACAATAATAAATTGTTGAAAACATAATAAGATATCATTTCAGACTACGAAAATAATAGAGAAGAAACAAGTGAATCTTTAAGCTATGAAATAGCACAAACAATATTTAAAAGAGGATGTCGTTGGGTCCTAATTATGGATAGCTCCGACAGTGAATAAATGTAAAAAAAAAGTGTAACTGCTTCTTTTATTTAAAAATGTTTTGTTATTTATTTTGCGTTAATTTCAATATTTCTTTGTTTTGAAGAGAGATAAAATATATTTTAACTCTTACATACTAAATATTTATTTTACATCTTTGTTAAGCATCTGTATAAGTGTATGTTTATGCATAAGTAAACTGTATGTGAGCCGCTCATTTGCCAAAACGATACGTTCATAAAAGAAAAGGTAGAAAGTATGTATTGATAAATTTTTATACATTTCTTGTGAAAAAACATTTCTTATTCAACGGCCATAAGAATTATTTCTATTAAATGAT